CTCTTATACACATCTAGATGTGTATAAGAGACAGCTCCACACCCCGAAGTTCACTTTTTATTGCAGATTCGGGATCCTCTAGGGTAGAGCAGCACAACCCCGCCTTCAAAAAAAAAAAAAAATCCTTCTTGTGTTTTTGCGTCGCCCGATTTCGTCGGGCGGACCCCCCCGGGCCCAACCGGTCGGGCAGCGGCCCAGCCTAGGAAAAAACTTGGGAAGAGAGGAAGGTCGCTGGACAATGTTTTAAATGTGGTGACCCCGACCACAGTGTTCCTTTTTGTCCTTAATATAGGTACCCAAAAGGGAACAGCCAGTAGAGGCATCAGTTGCCTCTACACGGACTCGGGATGCAAGCAGACTGCTATCCTCCGATCCAAAGATCCCAATGGCAGAGACTGAGATGGCAAAAGGCCCCCACGTAGCTAGCTGTCCGGAGGTTGCTTGTGCCAGGACCTCTCTAGGTGGTTCCCTCGCAAGCACAGGTGATGAACTGATCACTCATCGCCGCGCTTGGGCCGAGATGAAGAAGAGAAAAGGACAGCTAATAATTGCAGATGTAGAGGCAACAGGAATTAGAGTTGGCGCACTAGTGGACGGTGGGTCAACACGCAGCTATATCAGTAAGAAAGGTTTGCAGAAGTTGCGGTTAGGGGTTCAGAAGTTAGAACAGCCTGTTGTAAGTAAGTTAGCCGATAATAGAGAGATGATTGTGGACAGCTATGTCAAGGGGGTTAGGTCATACTTCCGGTCGGAGGCAGGGGGTAAGGCGGAACGTATTTTGCACTCCCTGACACGCTTAGTGGAGGACAGTTTTCCCTTTGACTTGATATTAGGAACTGACTGGGGCGAAGCCGTGGATGCCGACATCAAATTGGGTGAGCGTGAGTGTTATTTCCCCAGTCCCAAAGGTGGGAAAAAGAAGGTGAGCCCATTGTTGCATGAGCGCCCCTGCATTTGCCAGACATGTGGCCAAGAACATCGTTTCAGATCAGGTGTTTGTTGCCTATGTGCGCCCGGTGAGTGAAGAAGAAAGAAAGGTAGAACTTGTTCCACCCCAAATACAAAAATTGTTGAGTGAGTTTGCAAACGTGGGAGAAGCCCCAAGTGGAGTGGTTGAGAGAGAGACCAAGCACCGGATCGATCTTGAACCCGGTAGCAAGATACCCAAGGGCTCAATTTATAGAATATCTCCCAAGGAGTCGGACGAACTGCGGAAGCAGTTAGATGAGTTGTTAGAGAAGGGGTGGATTAGACCAATTTCTTCACCGTTCGGTGCCCCGGTACTATTTGTCCCAAAGAAGGGCGTTGAATTGCGCATGCGCATAGAGTATAAGGGACTCAATGCCATAATTGTGAAAAATTGCAAAACCATTGCTTAGGATAGCCGACCTGTTGGATAGGGTGCAAGGTTGCAAGTACTTATCGAAAATCGACCTGAAATTTGGCTACCATCAGATTGACGTAGCGCCAGAAGACCAGCATAAGACGTCTTTACGAACTAGGTACAGACACTACCAGTTTGTCGTAATGTCGTTTGGTCTAACTAACGCGCCTGCAACTTTCCAACGATGTATGAATGACTTGTTTCGTGATTGGCTTGATAAATTTGTCGTTGTTTACTTGGATGATATTCTGATTTTTAGTAAGAGTTTGAGCGAACACAATGAGCACCTTCGACTTGTGCTAAGTAAGCTGCGAGAAAGCAACTTTAAGATAAACCCCAAGAAGTGTGAATGGGCGCAGCGTCAAGTTTTGTACCTTGGGCATATCCTTGATGGTGATGGGATTAAACCAGAAGACTCTAAGCTTACAACCATTAGAGAATGGCCTAACCCATGTACCCTGACTGAATTACGTTCGTTCCTTGGTCTGGCCAACTATTATCGCAAGTTCGTTCGGAACATTACGATAATTGTTGCCCTATTACGTAGACTGTTGAAGAAGGAAACTATTTGGAAATGGGATCAGGATCGCACTGCATCCTTTGAGCGTCTAAAGAAGTGTCTGATTAACTATCCGGTGTTAAAAGTTGCAAACCCATACTTGCCTTTCGTAGTGACAACTGACGCCAGTCAATATGGGATACAGGTCGTACCCCAGCAAGATGATGGCAAGGGGTACAGGCCAATAGAATATATGTCATGTCGATTGCCTAATGAGAAGGTCGTTGTTTCCATGTAAGAAAGGAAGTTGTTAGCTCTCCGGGAAGCTCTGAGTCACTGGCGACATTATCTACTAGGACGCCACTTTAAGGTGTAAGACACTTCGTTGGCTTAAAACGCAGGTCCGTATGACACCTAAACTGACTAGGTGGGCCGCTGAGATTGATCAGTTTGACTTCAAGTTGAAGTTAGTCAAGGGGAAGTACAACGTAGTCGCTGATGCTCTAAGTAGGAGATCAAACTTTTTTGGAGCCATTGTGACGTATATAGATGCAAGCACCGAACTGCAAGAGAAAATTAAGTCTGCTTATGCAAATGATCCAATCTATAGCTAGCTGATTGGTAAGGTGCAGACTGCACCAGACGAAGTCCTGAACTATAGGGTGACGCAAGGACTATTGTTTGAGAAAATAGACGTCCAT